CTGAATTGTTAAACTTGGTGTTGAACTGGAATTGTTAAGTGAAAGTTGATTCGTGTTGGTTATTGATTGTATTGAATTATTGGTTAGAATTGATGGTTTAAATTGCTGATTAATTGGTTAAGTGAATTCCGTTGATTGGGTGTATGTTTTGTGGTTTGATTGGATGTTGAGAGTTAATGTTTATGGAAACATTAATTCGAGTTCCAATGTATAAAAAAAAAAAACGGGTCGGGTTGTTTCACCATATCTATAGATAAAGTTCATAAGTAAGTGTTTACACTGCGAAAGAGATAGATAAAGTTTCAATCTAATCTCATGGTTCCGCTGAAGAGATATCTCATGTGTATTCGTCGGCAGATGTAAGCAGAAGAACTTTGGATCATTTTATAATTAAATTTCAGCAACATCCACCAAAAAAAAAAACTAAGATTCGGTGATAAAACCAAACGAACTTGAGATTTGACGGACAAACCGGGGTGTAGTTTTAGAGCTCACGGAAAACAAAAAAAATATATTAGAGGAAAAAGTTTCAACTAGAATCTTGTCGTTTTGTTGGTGACCGTGTCAATACTCAATAGGTAATTTACGATTTAAACTATTGTTTACACTCTAAAATACATCGTTGTTTTTGTTTGTGGGCCTTGTGGCTCTATTAATATAAAATTACGATTTAAAGTATAACTTTTACATATTAGCCAAACTATTGGATACGGGAAGCCGAACCGAAAAAAATTCATTACATATACTGCAGATTTATTTATTGAATATTTTTGAAGAATGGGTAACGAATAATTTACTTAGTGAGAAATCAAAGAAAAGAGGAAAAAAATAACCAAAAAAGGAGAGAAATCAGATTGTTTTGCTAACAAAGAGATTGTACTTTAACCGCAAAAGAAGACGAAAGATTGTGTTTAATGTAATTAATATATTCGACTCTTTATATAAGCGTTACGCAATTACGTAAGAAACCAAAAGCCCTTCTTGTCTTTATATTGTGGAAATTGTTCAAATCTTGTATCTGCGTGTTTTTGTGTGAGGTAAGGAGGAAACTTTTTGTTGTGTCTCGGTGATTGATCGTCACTTTTTTTGTTGCTAAGTTTTTGTTTTCATTCTTTTCTTGAAATTTAATGTGAAGAATTAAGCTAGATTGTTTAGCAAAAAAAAGAGTTAAGTTAGATTCAGGTTTTCTGGTTGATGGTGCTTCGAGATCCATTGCAATATTTTATGACCCATGGTGCTCTATAGTTGCTAGATCTGCTTCTCGTTAGTTTGTGTTTGTTCCTCTTTCTATATAGGTTTGTTTCGAGTTTGGTTATTTGAATAGATTTTGATTTTTTTTTTTATTGAGACTTGCCATTGATTTTAATGGAATGAATATTATGTCGGGTACGTTTTGATCAATTCTTTTCTCTTTCTCTCCATAACGAAGCTCCAAACAATGGTTAAATTAACTACATCTGATGCACTTAACTATCTCAAGATCGTGAAGGATGCATTTCAAGATGACCGTGAAAAATATGATAGGTTTCTTGTCATCATGAAAGACTTCAAAGCTCAAAGGTATTTTTTTGTTTGTTCTCGCTGTCAATGATTGGTTTTGCTCTTTTTATTTCAATAGTTTTACTCGTAGTCATGATTTCTTGAAAACTATTTTTGATTGTGTTTTCATTATATTGTATAGAGTTGATACTAATGGTGTCATATTAAAAGTGAAAGAACTCTTCAAGGGGCATGAAGACTTGCTTTTGGGTTTCAATACATTCTTGCCAAAGGGTTTCGAGATAACTCTCGGAGGTGACCAAACCAAGAACGTTGACTTTGACGATACACTCAGTTTTATCAAGAAGGTCAAGGTAGGTGCACTAAACCAGGCTAGGAAATAGGGTTTATAG